ATTCTTATCTATTCCAGTCATGCTTGATTTATTTCTTACCGATGTTTACTTTTATATATATATATATATATATATATATATATATATATATATATATATATATATATATATATATATATATATATAAAGTAAACCTATATATAAAGTAATTATATATATATATATATAAAGGAAAGTATATATATATATATAAAGTAAATATATATGTATATCTAAAGTAAATATATATGTATATATATATATGTATATATATATAAAGTGAACCTATATATAAAGTAATTATATATATATATATATAAAGTAAATATATATTTATATATATAAAGTAAATATATATACATATAAAGTAAATATATATATATATTAAGACATTTTTATGTTTATACGTTCTTTTTATAGATACAAATATTTAAGTAAATTATATATATATAAATTAAATATATATATATATAAAAGTAAATATATATATATATATATAAAGTAAATATATATGTATATATATATGTATATAAAGTGAACCTATATATAAAGTAATATATATATATATATATATATATATATATACATATAAAGTAAATATATATATTAAGACATTTTTATGTTTATACATTCTTTTATAGAGACAAATATTTAAGTAAATGCTCTGTTTTTATAATAAACAGTATTAATAACAATGACCAGCCTGAATGTCCAAGATAAATTCGTTCTCCGACAGGAATCGAACCTGTTATCCTCTACATTCCTGTTGGAGAACGAACATTTATAATTGCAGTCGGATTTCAACGCATACCAATGCGTCTGCTCAGGCGAATATTGGTCTATTCTGTATTTTGCCCACTTTTAAATTAAATGTATGAACGTTGAATTGTACTCTATTCGTTCTCATCTTGCCTGACACACAAACATACACACATACATACCCCACTATATATATATATATATATATATATATATATATATATATATATATATATATATATATATATATATATATATATATATATATATATCACCTGTCTCTTGTGAGACTTCTGACTTTGTAATTGATTGACAATCAACATTTTTTTTTTTTTTTGGTATTTTTTTTATAATTGTCACGTACACTTGATAAAAAAAATGAAACAAAAAAGTATAGAAAAGATAAACGTGGAAATCAAATCAGTTCCTTACTAAAGAAAAAAAAAAATCAATTATATTTATATCTCTGTACCAAGTATCTGAATACTTGCTCAAAAAGAGTTATCTGCCCCCTGGTTAAAAGTTTTCTTCAGTCCACACCAGGTGGCATGATCACTTCGCAAATTTATTTGAACGCATTATTGATTTTTAAAAGAAGCAAAAAAGTTTACTTTGAATTCACTTTTCACGCTTTCGTTTAAACACACACACACACACACACACACACACATAGACACACACACACATACATGCACATAAACGCACACAAAGAAGCAAACAGATATACAAACACACCAGACACTTAAACACACGCACTCACAAACATATACATACGCAAATACAACAACGCACTAAAATATATACACTGACAAATACACAAATATATACATGCACAAACATTCACGCATACATACAAAATATACACTCATAAAGTTACATCTAAAGACACATACGTACAAATGTACACACACATAAATATAAATGCATATAGATACATATAAAAATATATGCACTCATACAAATAAATGCATACACACACAAATATACACATACAAGCTCAAATACATATATACCCATATGCATACAAATATACGTGTACACACATATATAAAAGTATATACATACACACGTATATAAAATACACAGACACATACACAGAAAATTACAGATAGGGACATATATAAAAGAAGACCGCAACATAAATAAACACACGGTAGAAATATAGATGCAAAATGGCCGGTTACTCTCGTTTCCCAAACACCCCCGTTGGTTAATTGTGGTTAGTCAATCCCTGTTGTTGCAGACACCTGCTCAGGCATATGTGTGCATATTCAACACCTGTCTGTGGTTTATGCTGCAAGTATGCTAATATATGTGTTATTGTATCCGAAATGCTATTGAAAATGAGTTATTGGTTTTTGAACGCGCCAAAGCAACGCTGAGTTTGATTTTAAATTATTATATATCTTAAGAGAAAAAACAAGAACAACATCTTAACTAGACTGACTATAATTTTCCCATAAAACATGCTGATTAAAAGGGAAAAGAATTCACTCCGATGTAGAGAACGCCTTGATCGCAAGGTCATCTACAATAAATTCCATACCTGAAGATGTCTGTAGGAACAGACGAAAACTTGTAGTAAAAATAAGAACAAATACGGCAGAAATTTATAGAAACAAGGATCATTTCATTCATAACGGATTCGGAGGTTTTTGTATATTATTTGAATATACAAATATATATATTTGAAAATATATATGGAATAGATGTTGTTCTTGTTTTTTCTCTTAGTAATATTACTAAGAGAAAAAACAAGAACAACATCTATTCCATACCTGAAGATGTCTGTAGGAACAGACGAAAGCTTGTAGTAAAAATAAGAACTAATACGGCAGAAATTTATAGAAACAAGGATCATTTCATTCGTAACGGATTCGGAGGTTTTGTATATTATTTGAATTGTTTGCGACGATGGATTTCTCGCCAATTAAATCATTAACCTTTGCATTTGTTTTTTGTGTGAATAATTCATGAATTTGTAAATTGATTGCACGTTTATCGTAATATATATATATATATATATATATATATATATATATAACTAGACTGACTATAATTTTCCCATAAAACATGCTACTCTGATTAAAAGGGAAAAGAATTCACTCAGATGTAGAGAACGCCTTGATCGCAAGGTCATCTACAATAAATTTATGTCCTGGCTCTTACAACATTTCACCATTCCTGGCAGATCTTCTATTATGACAGAGTGGAATACCTACTAGCCAAAGTGAAGGAAAGAGAAAGAAAAAGTTTCTAATTGAATTCGGCTAGATATAGAAAAAAAAATCTAAAATCCCCACAACCACTCGTTCGTACGCATGCGCAGTCGTATAGACATAACAAATTTAGTCCGCTGAAGTCCGGAAGGAAGAAACGCGTCATAAGTAAAATTCTCCACTTTGTTATACAATTTCCCCAATATGCTCTTGATATATAAATATATGTATTGCTATCTCATAGATAGATAGATAGATAGATAGATAGATAGATAGATAGATAGATAGACCTAGTGAGCCAAACAAACCTACCTAGGTTTCACCTAAACGGATCGTCAGGGAAAGTAAGGCCTTACTTTCACTGACGATCCATTTAGATGAAACCTAGGTAGATTTGTCTGGCTCACTAGGTCTATCTAGTCTGCTCTACGGTTGTATTGAGCTCTTTTGTTAGTTAGTTTTTTACTCGTATCAGGATTTTTTCTTTGGGCTTCAGACCTGCATCTGTGCGATTTTTTTGTTGGCAGAAGTTCATGTTTGTAGCTCTTTCTTTTTTTAAAACCTTTTTTCCCTCGAAATTGATTTGATTATTAGCAAATCAATAATTCGAGGGATTTTCGAAACGAGTCTAGTTATATATATATATATATATATATATATATATATATATATATATATATATATATCCGATGCGATGTGAACGAAAGTAATATATAAATTCTAACGTTCACATCATTAATCCAAAAGAGGGCTCGATACCCATAGTAGAGTGATGATTATTCGAAGTGCAGTTGAAACGTAGTGAGTAAAATGGTTTCGTATCTATGATAAAATTATAATAAATAGATAATAAATATTATTTATTTATTATAATTTTATTATAAAATTATAATAAATAAATAATATATATATATATATATATATATATATATATATATATATCCTGGTAGCAGTGAACTACAGAAATGAATGTCTTGGTGGAGAAAATGAACTTTTGTCTGTAGTTTTCATTTGTTTTTTTTATTTTTTTATCTTTTTATCATGAATCTTTTAACATTCCTTGTGTTGGTCAAACAGTCTCTTTTAAGTTGTTATTTGAGATAAGAGCTGGATGGATCTGTGCTGCTCTGAATTCCCCTGGAAAGTTTAACATTTTTATTGGTCCTGGAGAGGGGATGTGTCTCTGTTAAGTGTTTGTGTGCGTTATTTGGTTCTTAGGGAGTGAGTGAGTATGATATGTGTAAGCGTGTGTATTGCTGTGGGTGTGTGTTATCATTTGGCTCATTAGGGAGTGAGTGAGTATGATGTGTGTAAGTGTGTATATTCTTGTGGGTGTATGTATAAGTGTGAGGCCTCAACACCTCCGTAAGCATGTCTGTCTTGTGTGGGTGAGAAATGTGGGTAGGTTTTGATTTGTTGACTTATATATTAGTACTATCTATATTGTTAAATTTATGGTTTAGCCCGGCTGAATAGTGTGTTTTTAGACGTATCCACTTATTTTCATGGAACTCTAAAATCTTTCTAATGTTAATTGCTGTGAACTTTTCTATTCTCTCAATTATAGTGAATTTGGCATGGGTTTTGAAATCGTGTTTTTCCAGGCGGAAATGTTGTTCTACAGGTAATAATTTTTCATAGGGAGTCGATTGCGATATATATATATATATAAAGTGGACATTGACGTCAACAACCAGTGATGGCAGTCTGTTTCATGCTTTAACGCAATTTTCAGGACATGGCTGTTAACCTCAATGTTCAGTTTTTATAGCTAATGTCTTATCTTTTTTATCAGATACCATCAGTTGCCACCATAGCTTGGACAGGTGCACACCGTGCGTTTGCTATTGAAACTATTTTTTAAAGACTGTTGAATCTGTAATTGCAACACAGAGTTTTTCGTGCTTATTCCCTGTTACAAGGCAATGATCCTGTTCCGGATAGAAAATCGATAATGCCATAGGTTGAAAAATTCAGGGCCACAGTTACAGCGATTAAAGGAAAGTTCCCTGGAAGAACTCGAAGCGCTCCAACTTTGGGGTAATGAAATCGTCTCCAACAGGGTATGGCGAATAGAGGCCAGCATTTAAAAGATGTCATTTTTAAGACCAAATGAATAATAATGGTAGCCCTTTGTCTACACAACAGTGCAAACTTTTTTTTAGTAGTTATTACCATGTTCTAGTTGTCAACCATTAAATGTAGGAAGTATTTCCGCTACATTCTGTATATGTACATTTATTTTAGGGGGAAAATGTATGACTGTTATGATAATTTACTCCCGCACGCATGGACTCTCCCAGCTATATATAGGAGCAGGTACTGCCTTTTGGAGAGCGAATATTCCAGAAGTCAGCTCTGACAGTCAGACCAAACATTCTTGTTGTAACACTCTCGTTTGTATATGTTTGTATTACTGTTTCTGTTAATATATTTGTTTAACTCAATTCCTCTCTTGTGTCTTTATTTCTGGCCCTAACAAGGCAACAACACTATCTATCTATCTATCTATCTATCTATCTATATATCTATCTATCTATCTATCTGCGCATATGTAGGATTTTTCCTTTTGGTCATTCATCTATCTATATATCTATCTATCTATCTAGCTATCTATCTATCTATCTAGCACCCACAATATCAAATCCTGGTTGGGTCAGAAACTGATTTAGATAGTGTTATGGTAATTTACCCATGCACACATGGACTCTACCAGCTATAAATAGGAGCAGGTACTGCCTTTTGGAGACAGAAGTTTCCAGCAGTCAGCTCTGACAGTCGGACCGAACATTCTTGCTGTAACTCTCTCGTTTGTATATGTTTTGTATTACTTTTTCTCTTAATATATTTGTTTAACTCAATTCCTCTCTTTGTGTCTTTATTTCTGGCCCTAACAAGGCCACAACACTATCTATCTATCTATCTATCTATCTATCTATCTATCTATCTATCTGTCTGTTATGGTAATTTACCCACGCACGCATAGACCCCCCCACCAGTTATAAATAGGAGCAGGTACTGCCTTTTGGAGTGGGAAGTTTCCAGCAGTCAGCTTGTTAGTATATATTTGTATTACTGTTTCTGTTAATATATTTGTTTAAATCAATTCCTCTTTTTATGTCTCTATTTCTGGCCCTAACAAGGCCACAACAATGACAATGGGGAAAAAGTTTTCGTGTGACGCGATTCGTCCTTCAGGATATCATCAGACTAAAGCAAGTTTATGTTTACCTTGATGCGATTACACATGCACACGGGCGAAATAGAAAGTTTTAACTTTTAAATGCGTAGAATTTCACGTTGAAACACCGGTTAAGGAACGTCGAGTATGATCAGTACCCAGATGAGTGAAGGCTTGGCAATACCAGGTTCTATAAACTTGTATGTGCGAGTGGTGCAACGGATAAAGGCTCGGAATGACGAGTTTGAATTCCAGTCGAGTTCGTCACATTCACTTACGTACAAATAAACTTAGGAAAGGCATGACTCCATACCTCCCTGCCACCAGTGAATTAATTATTAGACTTGTATCATGAAATCACTATTATCTCCCCAAACGTTCTTACAAATTAAAGAAAATATTTTTAAATACTTGTATCTGAAAATCATTATCAAATTCAAGAAATTGTTAATAAAATACTCACTCGCAAATAAAAGAATTAGTCTTGCAATCCCAAAATTTGTTTAACCTTTAGGTAACCTACAAAAGGTTGATAAGCCGTAAAAAACAAATCAATCAATCATTTAGTTCCGATTAATTATATCCAGTCAGTTATGTGCCATGCACGATACACGCTTAGGCGATCATGTATCTTTTGATACAAAACTTTTTTCCCTCAGTAAGTTATCATTTCTTTCTGCGGTAGACCAGTTGCCATCCAATGCTATAGTACCCAGTCTGTCCTGCTATTTACCCATAGCTGGGAGGGGTGGAGAAGAGGATTCATACCTTTTCAAAGGGTATTAGCCCCTAAATGAATGTAATGGACTCGACTGGAATTCGAACTCTGTTCTCCGATTCCTCAATCCGAGCCGCTTACTCCACTAATTATACCCACACTCGCGTAAAAGTGTGGTCTTAAAAGTGGCGTATGCTTAGTCTAGGGGCATCATCACAGTTCTGTTTTTAGAAAATGCTTTAAACTTTATATTTTATGTCTTGTTACACATATTTTAGACAGTATTTTCAATGCTTGTATCGAGCGATGCGTAATTAAAAACGGTTTATTGTACGTATAAAGGAAAATTTACGCCAAGTGTATGGTCACCAATACTATTTTTCCAAAATGTTTTTAAAAGGGTCTGAAATGTTTTTAAAATGTTTAGGATGAAAGTTTAAAGCATGTGGAGTTTTAAAAATCAAAATAGGTACTTATAAGCACTTTTAGTGGGGGGGGGGTTACAAGTATTCGCGGATTCTAACTATTCGCGGCCGGTTCTGCTCCTTAACTCACGCGAATACGGAGGCTCACTGTATATGACCTCGGAATTTCAACTGTCTCTTCCTGATGTTAGGTATTTACTCCTGTCTCAATAGTAAATTTGGCATTGCTGACAAAGTTAACCTGGCTGTTGGTCTCAAAAAGGCCCTCCAATCTGTAGTTGACTGGTGCATGAAATAGCTTGTAAACTTTAATGCCTCCAAAACGAAACACCATAGAGAAACCTCCCTACCTCCTATCAGCATGGCCGATGCTCAACTTCATGAGAGCGTCTGTCTGTGCCTTCTTCATCTCATGTTTTCAACTGACCAGAGGTGGAACAACTACATTGAATCAATAGCTTCATCTCCCGCAAGGAAAGTTGGTTCTCTGTGTCGCGCCAGAAGGTTTTTCTCGCCTGAGTTTTTGCACTGAATACTGTTGCCATATATGATCTGATGCCGCTGCTGTTTATTTCGAGGTTCTCAACAAAATCCAATAGGTGCTATTGTTGTGGCTTCTGCAGCAAATCAGACCTTATGAGGTGGAATTGCCAGCTCCACACCCAACTGGTTTTGAATTCGAAACTGTCCTTCTGACTGCCAACCGAGTCAAAAGAGTCTAGTCTGCTCAACTATTTAACCTATTACTGGAAGATGTTACAATCATACATTTTCCAAGAGCATTAGTACGAAGTGAACCAAAGAACCACGTTTAAGATTTGAACTCACATCGCTAATTCCACTTTCCACACCAATAGACGTTATAAAGAAGGTAGTTTTAATTAAAAGTGGACGTACTTTATTAAGGCGAAAATATATTGAAAATCTACTAATTTCGGAATCTGCCACGAAGAATTTATGTCTATGATCATCTAAATGCATCAGACCCCGAAAATTAAAACAATTAACATTTGAAATTAAGTATCAAAGAACACCACAAACATCTGTTGAAGATGCTTGGCAACCTTTCACATATTTGAAAAGGATATTAGAAAAATCAAGAACCGATAATGGCAGCAAACCGCTTGTATATGGATAGAAAATGAACTCAGCAGATATACAAAAATATAAAGGGCTATAAGACAAGGATGTGTCTTCTCACCGGACTTATTCAACCTATACAGCGTGGCGATTCCAAGAGGATTAGAAGTTTTACCAAGATTCATTATTGGCGGTCATAATCTTAAGAACATCAGAGATGCAGATGAAACAGTGCTGATAAGAGACACCGGAAGAAAAGTAAAATAAATTCTACAGAAGGAAGTAAAGGAAAGCGAGAAGAAAAGACTAATGGTTGTTAGCAAAATGATGAGACCAAAATACGAATTGCAAATCAGAGATACCAAAATCAGACTAGTACAAAAATTTAAATATCTGGGAAGTGTTTTAACAGCGGATGGAAAGTGTGACACTGAAATCCGAAGACGCATTGGCATAGCGAAAGATGCCTTTCAAAAGCCAAGCAAAGTATTAAAAAACAGAAAAACTTCGTTAGAAATAATGAAAAGAATACTGAACTGCTACGTAATAACTGTTCTCCTGTATGCCAGTGAATGCTGGACAATCTACGAAGAAGCGACTTGAAGCTACGGAAATGTGTTTCTACAGAAGGATGATGAAGATATCATAGACTGAACATGTGAGCAACGACGAAGTTTTAGAGAAAATGAAAACAAGAAAGAAACTTATACCTTTTTTAATATATTTTTAATATATATTTAATATTTTAATATATAATGTCCTTAGCAACTGGAAGAATTTAGAAAACGCTATTATAGTCTTCCTGTTGCTAAGGAGATTTTGTTTTGTTATGAATAGTTAGTTTCTTTTAATAAATCCATTTCGTTTTTGCCTTGAGAAAGTCCACATTAGACGAAACGCGTCGTCTAATATTACAGTTTTTCTATTGTCTTTTACATTTATAAATATTGACAATATTTATAAATATTTTTGGCAGGTTAACTCTGAGAAATTTTTGATATATATATATATATATATATATATATATATATATATATATACTATTTACATTATTCGGACTATTGTCCTCATCTTTGTCGCCATAATTATTACAACGCTTCAGCCTTTGTACACTCCGGCCTTCTTCAGGTGGTTGGAATGTCGAACTGAACCCTTTATTTCGCTCACTGGGGTAGACTGTTCTAGTTCCACGTACCATTTTTAATGGATGTCAATCAGTTATCTCCTGTTAATTCCTCTTTCCAAGTTCTCCAACTACTAAAAAATATTTCACTGTTGTGTAGACAAAGGGCTACCATTATTATCCATTTGGTCTTAAAAATGACATTTTTTAAATGCTGGCCTCTATTCGCCATACACTGTTGGAGACAATTTCATCACCCCAAAGTTGGAGTGCTTCGAGTTCTTTGTCCATTTCATAATATGTGACGCCATTTGTTTACATTCGATATGCCATGAGGAGATATTAATGTGAGTGATTTATGGATGATTGAAGTTTAAAAGCAGAAAATTCGACCTTTCCATCCGAACGATCCTCTGTGGCCGAATCGGTTAAAAGGCACGTTAGGCTATATGACGGTTCAGTATAGAATACAGGTTGGAATCTTGTCGGAGGACGAATATTTTCTCTGAAAATTTCTCGGACATTCAGGCCGGTAAATGTTGTTTAATACTGTTTATTATAAACAGAGCATTTTCTCAAATATTTGTATCTGTAAAAAGAACGTATAAACATAAAATGTCTTAAAATATATGTATATTATAATGTATACTATGATTATTTTTTAAAAGTATGATACGTTCGCTACATAAGAGTTCTCATGTTTCAAAAACTGGAGCTAAAAACTTCAATTTAATTATAAAATTTAAATTGAATTAAAATATCAAGCTCTGTTTCATCTTCAAGCGAAATTTTTGAAATAACTAATCTTGAAATTTACGGAGATTTACAAGCATATTCATTCGTAATATTAATTACTATGGAAACGGCTGAAGCAAATATTTCATTATTATGTATATATTGTATATTAGTTACTTTCGGAAAGAGGTCAAGGTAGGGTCAGGGTGTCTATTTTAAAGCGAATAATGACATTCATTAGACGCATATCGGCTAGTCTGTTTCAGCGACAAAGAGTTATTGGCATTATTGTTACGCCGTTAAATATCTAAAGATTATATATATATATATATATATATATATATATATATATACACACAAACAAGCGTACATGTATACACAACGACAAAATTATATATTTAGATACGAAACCCTGTCGTAGCGAACATGTTCTTTATTAAGATACTTGGTTAGGCCGTTAAATGTATTTCATACCGTTAAAATAAATAAACATCGTTTTCTGTTCCATCTGATGTATCTACTAAAATATAACACCTAACGCAAAAAGAAACACATAATTACACACATATAAATATACCATTATACACATACATACATGTAGTCATGTAGTTGGTACCCCGACGAGATCATTAAGAAATCAGCATTCCGTGCTGAAAACACATTCGAAACGTAATGAAAACATTTTTTTTCTTCTTCAAAATTGTTATGTTATTATTAAGAGGAAGGATCAAAGTATTTTTTGATTATTTAATTAAATTTTTTACTATTTTTTAAGAAAATTCAAAATTTTGATTAAAAAAAATTGTTTATCTTGCGTCAGGGGCTGTACTAACTTTTATCATATCAAATTTTCACCTCTTTCTTTTTTGCGGTGACAGACATTAATTTGGAAATTCTTGCAAAAATCAAATAATTGTCTGAATTTAATGAAATTGTCAGAACTTATTCATAACCGAATCAAATAATTTTTTAATTTTTTTTTATTAGAAAATCTTGATCATGAGCAGATAAAAGCAGAAAAGATAATACTTTTAAGCCAATAGCGATTTTATTGAATAAATTTACTCTTTAGTATTTCAAGATATTTTTGTGTAATTTTGGTAAATATATCTGTTAAAATGAGATGTCAGCGTTATTTTCATTTTTGCGTAATTCAGACGTCAATTCATCCATCGCACCATCTATCTATCTATCTATCTATCTATCTATCTATCTATCTATGTCTTCATGTTTACCAGAATTTGGAAAGAGTTGGATGAGTCTAATAGTGATTACGAAGGTGTTTAAATTGATCTCTAGTAATGACGCTGTTAGGCCTCCATTCATTTTCTCGTAGTGTCTCAGACTCAACACGGAGTATCTTGAGGAGGTAGTGCTGACCTGGGTCAAGAGGATGGCTGTTGGAGGACCCTATGTCTAGCAACAGGACTAATCAACATGCCACAAAAGCAGGAGAACCCAGGTCATTGCTGTCAGACAATTTCTCCGACCGTTATTAACCCTTACATCTGGTCACCTAACTTTCCAACTGCAACCCCCTTGATTATTATGTGTGAGGCTCAGTTGAGCGGGAGACCAACAAAACTTGTAATATAAAAGATGAACCTAAGGCAAAGATTTTGGCAGAATTCCCAAATTTAAAGAAAGAGACCGCTCAGAAGAGTTGCAGGAGATTCCGAAGTCGTCTAGGTGCCTTGGTTAAAGCCAATCGCGATTTTATTGAATAAATTTACTCTTTAGTATTTCAAGATATTTTTGTGTAAATTTGCTAAATAAAATGCGATGGCAGAGTTATTTTCCTTTTTACGTAATTTCCGTCCTGGGTATGACGATAAACTACATCCGCGTCTTGTGTAAGAAGATAAACTACGTCCACCAACAAGGCCTCTGATCAGGAGGTTTTGAGGAGCGTGGAACCACCTCTTAATTGCTGGTGTTTCCAGGTCCACCCTGACCCGGGGTGGTAACACCTGTTAGGGTCCCAGATATGGGCAAATAGTTAACCCCGAAATTGAGGTAAAAAGGATTATGAAAGTGTAAAAATATGTTTTAATACCAGAAATATTTTGTAAAATAATTATTACCAGAAATAAATTTTATAAGAAAAAACATATTACTAGCCATACGTTTTTGATAAGAAAAATATTACCATCTATACATTTTTGAAGAAAAATATTGTCAGCTATACATTTTTGAGGAATAAAATATTACCAGAAATAGATTTTTGACAAAACAAAATATTACCAGAAAAAAGTTGTCGGCATTAAATAACCCATTGAGGTTAATATGCCACAAAACAAACCAAACCAAACCAAACTTTTGCGTAATTTAAACGACAACTTATCCATCGCACAATATTTGTACATCGATACACGCATACAAAGAAAATAAAACATGAAAAAAATAAAAATAAAAACCTAAATAACAGTTATAATCTTTACTTCCTTAATCTACAATTATGTGGGACAGTATTCATCAAATCAGGTAGGTGTCAGTTTTATCTACATGAATCTATCTAGGTCACGTCAAAAAGCTGTTTCAAGAGATAGATGTTGTATTTCAATTAAGGAAAACCAAGGCAATGTAATCTTTATTTTAGGATTACAAAAAATAGGACAGAAGTCAAACAAAAAAAAGCAACAATGGCATAAAATGAAAGAGTGTACATGCATGAACACTTGGTTGATGACTTTCTCATATAATAAACAACTTAATCACTTGATTGTTTCAACGAGAAGAAACTGAAGATAACGCTGTAAGAGGAAAAAAAAAGATGTCTACGGATTGGTTTATTTGTATTCTACAATAGCAACTAATAACAGCTATGAGAAAAGCTGTCTTTTAAGAAGTTGTAAACTTAGATCATACGTTGAGAAGGTATCCATAAAAAGGGTTCCAAAGCTTTTAAGTAATATGGGCATTCAGAAGATGTTTGAAGTGAGGATGGAACAGAAATGCCTATAAACATTATTTGAGTTCTTCTGCTTCTTCTTCTTCTTCTCCTCCCCCTTCTTCTACTTCTTCTTCTTCTCCTCCTCCTCCCCCTCCTCTCCCTTCTTCTTCTTTTTCCCCTTCTTCCACTTCTTCTTCTTCTTCTTCTTCTTCTTCTTCTTCTTCCACTCTTCTTCTTCTTCTTTTTCCCCTTCTTCCACTTCTTCTTCTTCTTCCACTCTTCTTCTTCTTCTTCTTCTTTTTCTTCTTCTTCTTCTTCCACTCTTCTTCTTCTTCTTTTTCTTCTTCAACTCTTCTTCTTCTTCTTCCACTCTTCTTCTTCTTCCACTCTTCTTCTTCTTCTTCTTCTTCTTCTCCCTCTTCTTCTACTTCTTCTTCCACTCTTCTTCTTCTTCTTCTTCTTCCACTCTTCTTCTTCTTCCACTCTTCTTCTTCTTCCACTCTTCTTCTTCTTCTTCTTCTTCTTCTTCTCCCTCTTCTTCTACTTCTTCTTCTTCTTCTTCTTCCACTCTTCTTCTTCTCCTCCTCCCCGTTCTTCTTCTTCTTCTTCTTCTTCTTCTTCTTCTTCTTCCTTTTCTTCTCCTTCTTCCACTCTTCTTCTTCTTCTTTTTCTTCCACTCTTCTTCTTCTCCTCCTCCTTCTTCTTCTCCTTTTTTAACTCTTCTTCTTCTTCTTCTTCTCATCCCCCTTCTTCTTCTTCTTCTTCTTGCATCCCTTCAGATCATGGCTTTCACATTATCCTATCTCGTGTACCTCTTAGCAGTTTCCCTTCTTTTGCTATGACCCCGTTCCACCATTCATTCACACAGGTTCGTGGCTTCCCCTTTCTACCTTGCTCTCAATATGCCCATAACCACCCACCCACCCCCGATGTTTAGGTTTTCTAACCCCTTTATCCTCGTATGTGCCCAACAAATCTCACCTGTTTTTCTCATTCTGAATATAATTGTTTCTTTCTACCGCCGCCATTTTCTTTAATACTTACTCGATCCGTTGATGGAATCTTCAGCATCCTTCTGTAGAACGGCATTCACTCTAGTTTTTTTTTTCATCTGTTAGGAGATTGTCATCTATTTCACTTGAACTCAGTATGTCCTGTGAGTTTCAATTTTTCCTAGCACTCCTTCCTCATTATGAGCCCAAGAAATTTCAGCTGTGTTTTTCTCATTCTGATTATAACTGTTTCTTTCAGTCGCCATTTTCTTTAATACTTACTTGCTCCGTTTATGGAATTCTCAATATCCTTCTGTAGAACCGCATTTCTCCTGCTTCACGTTTTTCCTCATATATAGGGAGATATTCCAATATCTACTAAAAGAGGATATATATCACATAGCAATCAGGTCTTCGTTTCTTTGTTTCTAACAATTTTTTTCGTTTCTCGGCTTCTTGCTTAGCTTTTAGAATATTCTTTCTCTTGTCTAATGCATGTTCGGATCACGGTGTCACATTTTCGATCCTCGTATTTTGGATTTTTTCTCATTCTGATGACTGTACTTTCTGTCATCTTACAGTTGATGCATAGTCCATATTCTTGCTTTCTTCTACCACCCTGTCGAGGAGGTCCTGTAGTTTTCTTTCCAAGTCGGCCATCAATACAGTGTCATATTGATTAAGAAATGCAATATTCATGATCATCGTTTGACTAAGACAAAAAATATCTTGAGAAGTCATAAGCTAATAAATAAAGGGTTTCAACCAAAAATCATTTGACTAAGATATATATCTAAACTATAACATGAGAAAAGGTCGAAACATAAATATTTCGTAGATATCTTGAGAAGTAACGAAACAAAAAGATTTCTAAGCAGATTCTTTTTGACGAAGCTAAGAGAACACGAGAATACACATAGAGTTCACATTTAACAAAGATGTAAATTTATTAAATCCCTTCATAAGGTAACTAATACTTACAATTAGAAAGGGATTGTTGGAATTTGGGGGAGACAAAATGAGGAAAGAGGACTTGGAAAATCTAACACTGACAGGACGCAAGAAAACCGAGAGAAACAGATGAAAGCGAGTGATATATTTTACGAGTTTCTACGAATAAATGGTAGAACAACGGTAAAATAATGGTAGAATAATGGTAGAACAATTGGGATGGCAAAAATTCAAGAATTACTAAGTGCGACAAAAATGAGGAATTTGTGGAGAGCTATAATATCCCACGTCCTGAAGGGACACCTTCAGAATGCATTTTCCTAAAACTTTTCTGATTTATAAAATTTATATAATCCCACCATCTCTCTCTCTCTCTCTCTCTCTCTCTATATATATATATATATATATATATATATATATATATATATTGTTATGGTCCGGTTCCTTGTACCACGGTGATAGTCCAAGGTAGAACCAAGAAGAACTCGAACACAGATATATTACAAATAGGAATATATACAGAGAAGTAGAAGTGTTAGTATGAACAATCAGGTTTAGTAGAGAGAACAATGTAGTCTCGACCAGTATCACTATTCCAATGTCTTGCAGTAATTGTATGAACGTGACTCTGTTTCGGACTGCCTCTGACTCGACTTGACTCGACTTGAACTACTGACTCACCTTGAACGACTGACTGACTGACTATATTCAGTCACCCCCACCCACACACACGAGGGCGTCATGTGGCACAAGGCCGGTTTAACGTGGGATCTCCGAGCCCGTGGGCTCGGCCAAAAATATGCCCATTGAACACGTATAAACGGGTTCAGGGTCGGTTTTACCTCCCAGAACGAGACTCCGCACTTCGGCGTAGCCTCGTTCGGGTTCCTCTCCGCCCGAAGGCAGAGAGTTCAACTGAACAGTCGGTCGAGAAAGCGAGCAACTGACTGACGATATTCAGTCCCCCCAACCCACCCACTGGGGCATCATGTGACACAGGGTCGGTTATTTAATGTGGGATATCCGAGCCCGTGGGCTAGGCCCCAAAATAGGCCCATTGAACCCGTATAAACGGATTCAGGGTCGGTTTACCTTCCCCAAAGAGACTCCGCCCTTCGGCGTAGCCTCGTTCGGGTTCCTTCCCGCCCGAAGGCGGAGAGTTCAACCGAAGTCGAGACGCGAACGACTGGAAGACTCCTTGCCTACTCCTGAGGCGCAATATTTATTAAGTATGGAATAGTCCATTATTATTATTATGGGTAAGATTCCATAACATATATATATATATATGTGTGTGTGTGTGTGTGTGTGTGTGTGTGTGTGTAAATGGTATTTCTGCTTGTTACGGAGATTAATTAATTACTGTTGAAGACGTTGTTGAATTTGTTGAACACTCTCAGGCCAAACCTGTGTTTGATACTGCAATTAGGCTTCGCGTAGCTTAGTTACAGTATCCAGGAGATAATCTGGCGTGATGCTTAAAATCTCGGTCCTGATGATTTGCTGCTTCGTTCTAGCACAACCATTGATGGTATCTTAAAACTTCCGTCTACCTAGTTACACTGGCATGGCTTGAGCCAACCCATGTTATGGCTTTCAGCAACTTCCTAATAGTGATCGCCTCACGAGGCTGACATTATCGAGAAGTCATTTCCTTAAAAAATAGACCGATTTGAAACCCGATTTTATGGGCAGAACGCTAAAATTCTGATCGTGTGGATCAGGCTGTTATTGAAATCCAAACTAGTGAGATTCCAGCATTACCGATTGGTCTAGAACCTTTCACCAACCGTGATGAACGGAGGTTCACTCAAGTAAGCCGCATAGCTTGAGCGCCGATTGCGACTCAGACTCAGCCCAGACGTCAAGTGGAACTTGTACATACATGAAGGAAAAAAAATGATCGGTTCTCTGTACCGCACCAGACAAGTATCTGAGACCGTTACAAAAGCCAGATCAAGCCGAAAAGGGAGTATTGCATGAGCTACTCAATCTTCGCTTACAAGCACCTGCTCATCCTTGAGGGTGACAAATTATTTTCCGCCCTGAAACCTCTTTTCTCATAGACAAGACGCCGCAAGCATTGCGCTGCTCTGTCGCTATTTCCATGTTCAGCTGATCTACATTGTTTAGTTCCACCAGTTCTAACCTTCACGTCTAAGACCCGACATGTCATGTGCATTCTAGCTAACCTTCATTCTTTGAATTCCTTTGGTAAGATGTAAATTCCATTCGAGCAACTTCTTCCCACGAACCACAGCTCTGTGAAACCAACTCTCAAGAGGATGCTTCCCTGATCATTACAATCTTAACCTGTTCAAGTATAGGGTTAACTGTTATCTTTTAAATATATGTGTATAAGCTGTCCCTCTTAATTTGCAACACTCTACCTCGAGTGACCCTCTAGCCTTGTACATTGTACAGTTTGGTCAATTTTCATCATCATTATTGATATAATGGAATATGCATACACCTGTGTTCCCCCTCACTGGAATATGATTGGCTGGTGTCCGTCATAAATACCGACGGACGTGTAGGAGAGTCAAAAGAGCCTTAGTCTGAGAGCTAAGTCGATAACGACGCCCATTGGACTACGCCATTGATCTACACTTCTTACCTGCGACTACGACGCGTACCATTCGATTACTGCTACCGTATTCTACTTGGTTATAGTAGCCAAAACCACTTAGGTACTTCCTTCAAATATATCCCTTTCCGGGACATATCAATTTTCATCATCCCCTTGACTTTTGTAATCGTAGGAGGGATCGTAATGCAAAAGCCAAACTGAATCTCCTCCACAACTGTCCATCAAAAACAGCCTTCAGCAATTCTGATATAGCCATATTTGTTTATTGCTTGACATTGTCCAACCAGTTTTGGGGTTGACGTCCTCTCCTACGTCCACCTTCAACTGTGCCTTGTCTTTCACAAGCTGTTGTGCCTCGCAACGTCTCCAAAGCACGCCAATTTTCTCCGTTTGACAATAGCGAGAAAACCTTTTCCGCACAAACTCATTGGTTTTATGTCCCCAATAAAAGATGCCAAGGAGTTTTCTCGTGTTTGTTCAAAACCTGATATATAATATGTTATAAGATAATTCCTATCAATGATCTGGCAATCAAAGTCATAAATCTTTACGTAATAAAATCCCTATCACTCGAATAGGCCCAACACAATCACCCTCAAAAATAGGTAGCAAATCTAACCAAATAATGTGCTTACGGCCGTGTCACGTTGAAACATCGGTTCCCGTACGATCAAAGAAATTAAGCAACGTCGAGCCTGGTCTGTACCTGGATGGGCGACCGCTTGGAAATACCAGATGATATTTGCTCTGAATTTGTTGATTAGAGAGCAGAGTCGCAAATTCCATTTTGGTTTGTTATATTTACTTTCGTGTAAATACTCTTGGGAAAGGTATGGCGCTACACCTTCTCTCCACGGTTATAAGTTAATTAGTAAGCATTGTATCACTAAAAGCATAATTATCTAAAAGCCAAAAATTCTTGCAATCTAAAAATATTTCTGCCTTTAAATAACCTACAAAGTTTTGACAACGACTCAATCAAGGTAATTAGAAGATAAAATAATTATTTAACTTTCAACACTACCCAAAGCAAAAAGGTCGTGAGGAAAATCCCATAAATATTAGAAAGATCTATAACATTTAGTTAACATAAGAAGTGAAATATACTGAAAACATTTTCAAGAAAATGATTTTAATAAATTTCAACCAGCAATTAACCCTGACTGTTCAGTCAATATTTACTAAATGTTCTCTGTATGGGGCCGGTTAGATTTTACAGTAAATATTATCATTACCAACACTCTTACCATTTAAATATCTAGCGTTCAATAAAGG